GATAGAAAACACCTTGCCCCACTGTACCTTTCAAATATCTCAAGACCTGATGAACAGCCTGTAAATGTGTATCTCGAGGAGCATGAGAATATTGGCACAGTTTATTTACTGCAAAAGCAATATCCGGACGAGTGATCTGCAGATACATAAGCTTTCCCACAAGCTTTCTATATCGAGTTGAATCAGGAAGAAGAGTGCCTTTATCTTTTGTGAGTTTAATATCTGGATCCATGGGGATGGAAGCCGGTTTACAGCCAAGAAATCCAGTAGTAGATAACAACTCCAAAACATACTTCCTTTGACATAGGGTAATGCCTTCAGCTGACCTAGCAATTTCTATCCCAAGAAAATACTTTGCTGGTCCTAAATCCCTCAACTTGAAATAAGAAGCCAACTCTTCTTTGAAAACAGTCATTGCACTATCATTATTACTGACTATCAAGATATCATCCACATACACCAAAATTCCAAGAATAATGCCATCTTGATATCTGATGAACAATGTGTGCTCAGCAACAGACTTTGCAAAACCCATTTTACATAATGTGGCTGAAAGCTTAAGAAACCATTGCCTAGAAGCTTGTTTTAAACCATAAATGGATTTATGCAACTTGCAAACAGCACCTGGGATCATTTTCTCACCAATCAGATCAGCATATCCGGGAGGTATTTTCATGTAGATCTCTTCATCCAAATCTCCATTCAAGAAAGCATTAGAGATATCAATTTGACTCACTGACCAATTCATCTTGGCTGCTAGCATAAACATCAATCTAACAGATGCCAACTTAGCTACAGGGGAGAAGGTCTCTTCATAATCTAAACCCTCCTCTTGTGTGTACCCTTTTGCAACCAATCTGGCCTTGTATCTCTCTATACTTCCATCAGCATGATATTTGATTGTAAATACCCATTTACAACCAATAGCCTTCTTATTTGGTGGTAAAGTATCAACAGTCCAAGTCTGAGTCCGTAGCATAGCACCAACCTCCGCTTTCATTGCATCACACCACTCATCATAATCCTTAGCTTCTGAATATCTTTGTGGGATATGGTCATTTGTAATGATGTTTATGAAAGCACGAAAAGGCTCAGAGATATAGGAATAAGAGACATAATCGGATATAGGATACTTGATATTACTAGTAAAATTATAGCAATGAAAGTCCTGCAAGTGTTTTGGGGGTTTCTTTGTTCTGCGAGAATGTGATTCAGAAGGAATGACAATCTCAGAAGATATCACATCAGAATGAGGATGTGTATCAGAAGATGTTTGCAAAGGCAAGACATCGGGAATCGCAGGTGAAGAAAGATGAGGAAAGAAAGTCTTAGTATCATCTTTGATAGTAGATGAAACAAAAGGGAAAATTTCCTCATGAAATATGACATGTCTAGAAACAGTAACAGCATGTGTCTCCATATCTAATAGCTTGTACCCCTTATAACCAGTAGGATAGCCTAGAAAAATGCAAGCATTAGCCCTAGGTTCAAATTTATTCCTATGCTTAGGAGAAGTAGAACTATAACACAAGCAACCAAAACTCTTTAAAGAAGTATACTCAGGTGCTGTACTAGTCAATTTCTCAAAAGGAGACTTATTTTCTAACACTGGTGTAGGAAGTCTATTGATTAAGAAAACAGCTGTTAAAACACAATCTCCCCAAAACTCTAAAGGAACATTAGACTGAAATAAAAGGGCTCTAGCTACATTCAAAATGTGCTGATGCTTTCTTTCTACCACAGAGTTTTGTTCAGGAGTTTCAGGACAAGAATGATATGATATAATGCTTTTTTCAGAAAATAATGCAGTGAATTTTAATTCATGAGCATTATCTGATCGAACAGATTTTACTTTTGTTTTATATTGATTTTCAACCATGTTGATAAAACTAGGAAACACATGCAATACATCAGATTTGAGTTTCAAAAGATAAATCCATGTTGCACGACTATAATCATCAACAATAGTCAAAAAATATTTGAAACCATCTGTTGTTTCTACAGAGAATGGACCCCATGTATCTATATGAACTAATTCAAAAGGTGCAGTACACATGTTCTGTCGAGATTTAAAAGGTAAATGTTTCTGTTTTGATAAATGACACACATGACAAACAGATAACTTTTCTTTATTTCCTTTTATTTGTTTTAAACTCAATACATCAGAAAGTAAATCTATTTTAGACTGAGATGGATGACCAAGCCTTCTATGCCATGTAATTGGATCAACAACGACACTAGAACAAACAGAGACACTATTAAGTGGTAATGCAGTACCTTTTAAAGAAACAGAACGAGTAGACTCATCGAAATGCAAGACATATAAATTTCCAATTTCAATCCCTTTTCCAATCATCAACTCCTGTGTAAGATCCTGAATAAAGCATTCATCAGATGTAAAACTCACTTTAGTTTTCAATGTCTTTGTTAAAACACTAACACTGATCAAATTGAATTTAAACTCAGGGATATAAAGCACATTATGTAGAAAGATAGCATCAGTCAATTTGATAAATCCTATGCCCACTATCCTAACTGTGTAACCATTAGGTAAAGTGACAAAGGTTTTATCTAAGGGTCTAAATTCTACATAAAGGCTTCTATTGTGAGTAACATGATGAGTAGCCCCTGAATCTATAACCCAAGCTCTAGGAGACACTGCTGGTTCCTTAGATATAGAAGAAATTAGCATGTCATAATAGGCATTTGAGTATAGTGACAGGAAAGTACCTGAAATCTGTGAGATTACAGGAACAGAAGATGAAGTCGAAGCAGAAGGATTAGTAGATGTGTGAGGTGAGGCAGTAGTAGTGTGAAGCTTGGAACTAAGATACGAAATCACTGTCTGAATCTGATCTGTAGACATTTCATCACAAGAATACTCCATATTCTCTTTCTGGTCAAGAGAAGATTGGCATTGTGTTGCAGCAAGGTTTGTAGTTCCTATGGTCTGAGGTTTCTTCCATTTTGAAGTAAATCCAGGTGGATAACCATGTAACTTGTAACACTTATCTGCAGTATGACCAATCTTGTGACAATGAGAACATTTCGGTTTCTGTGAACCATTATGAGCCAAGAACACTTGAGCTTGATCAGGAGTAGTAGTTGTCTGGACTTGATAAGCAGCTGGATTAGTGAACATTTGTGGTGTAGAGAGGCCACCTGTTCTCTGCCCTTCATCTTGGTCCAACATATTATACATCTCTGTCAAACTTGGTCTTGGTTTCA